TAAATTTGTTTCCACCAAGCATGTGGGAGAGGCAAAAGGTGTGTTGAGGTGTGAACAATGCTCAGAAAGCATCCACAGCTATTTTATGGCATGTCTACTACTGTGAAGTGGAGCAGAGATTGCTGAAGTAATGGAGGCCCAAGCTAGCAGGTTTTCTTGAGGCAGTGCATCACTCTGACAACCAACTTAAATTCAGAAGCCACAGAGCTGTGTTCAAGCATGACACATGTATCTGTAGCCTGTACTAGCTGTACTAGCCTGTACTAGCGTGTCATAGCACCTGTAGTATTTCCGGATTCAAGCTGGCTCATGGTCCAGCCCAAATATCTGTAAGTCTTGTGATTATGTTCCTGATCTTGAGAGGAGTTAATTTTGCCAGTTTGAGGGTCTCTACATCAATAGTTGTAATCTTCCAGTAGCTAAGATCAAAAGGCAATTGAATGAACGTTAGGGATATCTACGTAGTCAGATGCTGATAGTCAAGGTTTATGAGCTTGGGATTGATGGCTAAGCCGGTCAAAGCATGGACAGAGCTTTATGAGCTTTATGACAAAGAGTCATTTACTCCTGATCAAGTAGACATCCTTGTAGTCACATGCTAGTCCTGGTGACTTATTGTTACACTGAATGTTACATTGGCACATAGTTCATACTGCACATCCATGCTGTATTTCATTCATGTTTAAAAGTGTATTTGGATAGGGGTTTGGGGGTTTTTTGTTTTGTTTTGGGGTTTTTTTTGCTTTTTTTTTTAAATTACTATCCTCCCAATCACACTTGTAATGCCTTTCATATTTGAAACAAGGTGGAAAACAGATGTATACAAACAGATTCGTTATAAAGCAAGATAGTTCCCTCAGACACAAGATGTTGAACTGCTTTTTGATCAGCTGCTCTAGAAATGTACATTAAACTGTAAACTATGATTCTTCCTGTAACCAGCTAATGATCCTATCAGTTGCAGACTAATTGCCTGTACCACAACCTAAATTTTGCCCCATTCAAAAAGCCAAAGCCACATTCTGATCCTGTTAATCACATTCAACTTTGAAAAGTACATAGTGGTTGTGCGTTATTCAGCTTCTCTCTCTAGTAATTTGTTTGATTGCCTATTACTTGCAATCTGCACTAACGGAATAAATGTGTTCCATGTCCTGATGGGAAGTTATGACTTTCTCTTAAATTCTTTTAATTTAGACATTCTGCCTAGAAATTGGGGTAAATTCTGCTTGCCTTTCTTATCTAAAGTACCTTCAATGGGAAAAGTGAAAAGCAAAGAAGTTTTAATCCTTTGCAGAAAGTAATGAAGGCAAGTCATAGCACCTATGTCCATTTAATGCAAGATTAATACCAGTCTTTATTGCTCACAGATCTGAAGGCTTTCATCGTTTTATGGGCAAATAAATAAGATGCTCAGGTAGGGGAGAGAGGTGCTGGTACTATATCCATTCCTTCTTTTTCTCCATCCCCCATCAATTTAGGTTGTCTATAGTGTCAAGACCTAGAATAGACCCCCATCCATTCATCATTTCATTTAACTTCAATTTGTTTTTCATATAGCACACATACACATATGTATATATATTCTACTCAGTAGTAGGTAAGTCTTTCAGAAAAAGCATGAAAGACATATCCAATTATCTTTCAATTTTCCATATCATTTCTCTGAACAAGAGTGCAAGGCCAATAGATATGTCCTGTAAGCAAAAAACAATTGTTACTAGGACATTTTTATTAACTCTGGAACTGTGTGATAATACTTTGTGATACTCTGTGATTTTACTTTTGAAATCCTCTGAATCTTAATGAGAAATTTTCCTCCCTGTTCTGAGTTTCAGTGAGACAGACTTGCAATGCCATGGCCATGTTACTTATTTGTGAAATTCATTTAGATAACTTTCAAAGATTTAAAATTTCAACCACAGATTCAGGCATGAGGCATGTTTTTTAGTTAAGAAGAGACACATTGATTTTTCATATAAGAAACCTCTGCTAAAAAGAGGTTATACTCTGAAAACATTAATGATAGAAATATTTATCAACAAAATCTAAAGTTGCCTTCTAGATTCAAGTTCTTCAAATTCTACCTAAATTCTATCTTCTAAATTCTTCTAAATTCTACCTTCAAATTCTGCCTAAAGATTTGGACCAATCGGTGATTCCCAACAGATCCACCTTTTTGTATATCAAACTATTCATTTAGACTCTGAAGTATTTGGAATTTAAGTGTTTTTTATTACCTAATTAACAGTGTTCAGTTCACAACAGCCAGTTTAGTCTATGGAAGTTTGTCTTCCTCCCTGCCTTACAAAAGAAAGAATTTTCTTCAAACAGTGCATCTAAAACAGAGCATCTAAAGTAGACTCCAGTTTTGAATGATCATTTGGTTAAGTCTCTTTCTCTCTCTCTTTCTCTCTCTCTTTTTCACTGACTGAAGAGAAAACAAAAAGAGTTTAGCCTCCCAATGGATACATCCCTTAGAGCCTGGGGTGCTTTTCTGAGGCATAAGCATAGCTGATATGAGATGGCAATAAGTTAGTTAATTCTGACAGAAATAAAACCCCAAGATCATCACTAGGCAATTAGGTTTTGCATTTACTGTCATAGTATCTCAGTACTGAAGCCTCTAATTATTTCCTAAAAAGATTTGGTACTTGTTATTTGCTACCCTTCTTTGAATATTCACAGGGCTCTTCAGTCATCCTTGTCTGGTAGCTCTGCTGGCTCATTATTTTTCTTCTGTTCTTATGAATGTGCTGGCATAGTTTTCTGTATTATTTTCTCTTGGCTTAGGCTAGAAAACTTTTGTCCTTTTTTTGTCCTTCCTTCCCTTGTATGTTTTTACTTCCTCTCCATGACTTACTTCTTGAACTTTGCATCACATTAGTTCCTTTGCCTTGCCCTGAATTCCAGGCAAAGCCAGGCCTGTTCAGAGGGCTTTAGCCTTTCAAAATCACACATTTAGATCTTCAGCATTTGATCAATCACATATTAAAATTTGTCATAGTTTCTTGTTATTTTTTGTTGCAAAACACATCCCTTATTTATTCATGGAGTTCATTTCTTCATTTCTTTTTGTAACTTAATGCAATATTTTTACTATTACTATATCCTTTGCTAGAGCTAATTGACAGTATTAAAAAGTACTATTTCATAGCCATTTGTTGTAAGAAGTAAGTCTATTTTTCTTCTTTTTTTCCTGGCAGTCATAGTTAGAAGACACAGAATGAAGCCACAGTTTTACCTGTGTAGTTGCAGAAAACTTCAGTTCTGATAAGGAATTCCAATTCTTCACTCTGCCCCTAAAAATATATTGTTGGGTCATTTCTATTGTCATATTCTGTTCCTTATTTATTTTAATCTAATGAGTCTGACACAGATATTTTACATTCAGTGTTAAATTCTAATGCAAGAGAATTGATCATAGATGTATCAAGAAACAACACTAATTACATACAAGTGGCCCATGTTGGCCATTTGAGAGCCTAGATTTTATTATGCAACAAGGTTTCTGCCATGTATTTTTCTTTTTTAAAAAAATTACATGCTGAGTTTACAAAATATTTCAAAAAATCAAGATATGAGAAAGTTAGAGCTTTAGAATAAATTAAAGCTATAAAGTTCATAAAGGAAAGAGAAAATAAAAAGGTCAGTAGAAAAAGAAGATAATAGCAAATGTTTTAGAAGACATCATAAAATTTACCTCCTTTTCCCACAATGGGAAGCATTTTCTGTCCCTGAAAGATAAACAAAACTCATCTGTTCAAGGACTTGAGCAGCGTATATAAACTGGTCTTTCTTTAAACAAGAAGTTGGACTAGATAACCTTAGAAGTCCCTGATAATTTATGCCATTCTACAGCGACAAGTACCTTTGCTTACTGCAAGCAGTTCATACTAACATCAAATCTAGGGAAGGTCCAGCATAGAGCAACAAAGACGATTAAGGGACTGGAGCGTCTATGATACGAGGAAAGACTAAGCGAGCTGAGCCTGTTTAGCCTGGAGAAAAGAAGACTGAGAGGGGATCTGATCGACATGTACAAATACCTAAGGGATGATGGTAGGGAACATGAGGCCAAACTCTTCTCGGTGGTGGCCAGTGACAGGACAAGGGGTAATGGGTACAAGCTGAAACAGGCAGTTCCATCTCCATGTGAGGAAGAACTTCTTTACTGTGAGGGTGACAGAGCCCTGGAACAGGCTGCCTGGAGAGGTTGTGGAGTCTCCTTCTCTGGAGATCTTCAAAACCCACCTGGATGCCTCCCTGTTCCCCGTGCTCTGAGTGTCCCTGCTGGATTAGGGCAGGTTAGATGATCTCTGCAGGTCCCTTCCAACCTCAACCATTCTGTGATTCTGTGATCATAAAGCAGAGCCTCTATTACTATAAAAGAAATAAGGCAGCAGCAGAATCATGCCTTGGCTTATTGTGTTCTAATTATTAGGAGCACATAGGAATGCTTTTTGGTCATAAATTATTTGCAACAGGAAACACTGTTTTGTTGAGAATTTGTACAGCACCTAGCACAATAGGAAGTGGTGCAAGATTAGTACTGTTCTGCCATAAGGAATTACAAACAATAATGAACAAACAGAAAAAGAAATCAAACTAATTCATGATGTAATGTTGACTCAGTATTTGGAGAAGAAAAAGGAAAACTGTCATGTATTTTGTCAGCATCTGTTGGAAGAGCAACACTGAAGGAGAGTATTGTGTCACTCTCTTCTAATCCTAATTCCTTTCCTACCCAAAGTAAATTGAACTAGATCCTGCAGTAGTCAGAGTTCTGAAACTATGCAAAGCCACCACTTGAACTCTGCAGGGTCCTTATCCACCCTGCTTTTAGGTGTTTCTTAACAACCCTGATTTTCCTGACTTCTAATAATGTGTGTCATGATGCACCACTTTTACGTTTGTGTGATATGAAGTCGTGCTGTGAGCAGAGCCTGTTTTAATCATTTTCTCCTGTATTTTTTCTTATTTCTGTTTTGTTTTTATAGGTTGACCTGCTTGTCCCTACGAAAGTCACTGGCATAATTACACAAGGAGCTAAAGATTTCGGTCATGTCCAGTTTGTGGGATCCTACAAGCTGGCTTACAGTAATGATGGGGAGCACTGGATCATATACCAGGATGAAAAACAAAAGAAGGATAAGGTAAGGTAATTATAAAATTGATATATGCATTGTGTTTACAGAGGATTAAGTTTTCAGTAACTCCAGTGCTGAAAGCCTATAGATTTTTGTCTATATTCTGCTTTATGCAGTTAATATGCCTGGGGTCCCACAGATAAAAGTCAAAGTGAATTAAAAAAAATCATATAACAGAACGACATTCACAGTGCTGCAATAGCATAGGTATCAGTGTAATGCATCTGATTTAAGGCCATTAAATATGAGACATAAAACTTTACAGTGCACCATTTAATTGAATTATTCCTTCCTTTAACTTTACAGGAGAATGTATATAAACAGTAATTTATTTGTGTCTTGGAGAACAATGTCCCAGTCCATATTTTGATAAGGATATACTATTTTCTGTAAAGCATATCTTGAGTGTTCACGACTATCTAGTAATTTTGTGTTGATTTTTTTTCCAGGAAATTATTCATTTTAGGATTTCAAATACCCTGTGGAAAGATCCTTTTTCACTACACTATTAAATTAATGTCAAACATAACATCTTCACAACTTCATTTGCAAATGTTTAGTGGCCAGGTATAAAGAAAATATAAGGTTATTGATAGATTTACCTTGAAACATTTATTTTTTTCACATATTATTTAGGATATTATTCATTATGCATTTCCTTTAAACTGTATAACATTTTAAATTGCAAATATCTGAATAGTTAAAGAAATTACAGTATATGCATTTCTGAAGGGAAATATTAAGAAAACTGGCAATTTTACTTATTTATTAAAGATTTTAGATAAATTTCCCTAATTGGAACAAGACACATTAACGAAAATACCAGATGGCTGATGTGACTGTTAATAGATGTCTCAAATCTGGTGTTTTCAACATTTATATTCAGGGAAATAAATGTTCCTGCTTGTACTTATTTTTTCTTATAATAAACTTTTTTTCATAAAAATGAACACCGTTCGTATATGCCAACTCATTTTGTATTTTTGAAAGCAGTGAGATTTGGATATATATATATATATATACACATATGTCTGTGTGTATATTGTATGAATATAGGTAGATCTTATTGATGAGGGATTAGAGAGCGGCATTGCTTAAATTTCACTGATTTTTAATTGATTTGTTAAACGTACACTCAATATTAGTGAAAGGTAAACACAAACAGCTGAAAGACTTTGAGATGGGGAAAACACAACACAGTTGCTTTAGCCATCCATCTGAGAAGGTCCTGAAGCCTGGGGTTTTGGATGTGTCTAGCATAATTGGTTGTCAGATAAAAATTGGAAACAAACAACTCTGCTTTCATAGACATACTGTAAAGGTGTTCAATATAAGTGACAGTCCCCTCAGTGCTTTGTACGCATCCCCTTCCAAATCCCTGGCATTTAAAAACAAAACATTACTGTGGAAGAAACGTCTTCTTCAAGCCAAACCTCTACTGGTGAACTGTTGCTTTCATTATATTGAAAAGGACGACATGCAATCCAGTCACCAGTGAAAAGCACAGTCACAGGCACATCTACAAGAAAATGTAATCTCACTTAACAGCACTGTGCTAGTCTATTCTTGTTTATAACATTTGCCAAAGCAATTAAATTCTTTTTGCTTTCATCATCAGATGGATTGTTAATTGCTGTGTGCATAATCCATTAAGAACAACGGAAAACTCTTCATCACTGTCTTATTAAAACATCTCACTTCCCATATTAATTAACGTCACTAAAAATAAAATAGATGTATCTTATTACGATGCCTTAACAAATCATGAACAATTAAAGGCAGAATGTGATCAAATGAACTTAGCTCAAGGTTGGAAGTTATAATTTCTGAGATGACCCAAAATGCAAGAATATTTTTAAAGGAATGGTGTTTTCACAGCAAAGTGAAACTCTAAGAAAATGTTTGCTCTGTCCCATGGCCACTGAAGAATGCAGACATCGGCAAGTACGCCACATATAAGTAACTCATAATCTACCCTTTTTCATTCTCTTTATTAGCTGAAGATCTGGATTTCTTCTGAGAAAGATAAAATCTATAGATTTCTCCCTTTGTGGGTTATTTATTCATTCTGTGTTCATCTTGTGAGTCTTCTCAGTGATCATGACTTTAAAACACATTAAAATAGGAATGTATTGTTTAATCGTGGCTGGTATTGAACATCTTCCCTTTTCAGTAGTTTACAGAATGAGTGCTAATGTATGAATAGATTTTAGTGAATTCCTGAAACTGTTCATATTTGGCCGTTCATCATTTTTCAGGTTACTTTTCGCAGAGAAATAAAAGCTGAGTATTTCTTGTTCACCAGCCACTATCTTTGATGAGTCTGAAACAAATAATCAGTTGTTTCAAATAGAAGGAAAGAGAGTCTTCTAGCTTCAGTTTTCTTTGTTGTACACTTTCAAAACAAAAAAGATGCAAGAAAAAAAAAGATGGAAAAGATGTACAAGAACAATAGTTTCTGCAGCTTCTGTTTAGCTTCTGCTTTTTAATCGGCCACTCATTTAAGTTTGTAACTATGCTGAAATACTTTGAATGCAAAGAAAAGGGTACTGGAAAAAAAAAGCATGTATTTAAAAAATGCCGTTCTCATTTTTGTAAATAGTTTGAATGAGTTCCTTAAAAAAAATCAATGTTTTTCCCATTCTCCTGAGAGGGAAAAAAACCAACAACAAAACAAACAAACAAAAACTTAGTTGAAAAGAAGGAAGAAAATATATTTTAAAATATTTTAGAAAAAAAAGACCTGAGTTAGTAGCTATCTTGTTTTTCTCAACTAGGGGTCAGTAGCTCACTAGAGCTCCGATATTAAGGATAGCTAAAGCAAATTTCACTGGGTATTTTTTTAGTCACATTCTGAATGTAAATTCTAATTTGTAGTGCCCGCTATATATAACCCAAGGCCAACTGCAATGTCAAATGGCATTTTAGAGGCTATTTTGTAAAGTAAGATGAGGATGTTTGAAAGTAGCCGAACTGAATCCAGAAGTGTGCAGCAGTCCATCATTATGAACAATCAAAGGTAGAATGAGCATTCAAAGGCATGTAGGAAATGTCCAATATGCAAATGGCCACTGGATTTCTGTAAAAAATGGAAGAACAACTAGAGATATAAATTATGTCATCTGAAGCTCTAGTTAATTGCATAGCAACTGCAGGCAGGAGCCTGCATATATGTAAAAAGATAGCTCTATCCCTCTGTGAACCAAAGCAAGGCAATGTGCTTATATTAACAATAATGCGCTCATATTAACCAAATCCACTTTTGATTTCTGTAAACATATTTGAAGGGGAGTTTTTGAAATACTTCTCTTTTTGCTTGACTTCGACCTTTCATCATAAACCTTTTCTGTACTACATACTGTGGAGTAAATTCCAATTTAAGTGGCACCAGTAGATTTCAGGTGAAAAATAGCAAAAATGTGATAGTATGATTTATGAGTTCAAAACTATTATCTGTCCTGTATCTATTGCGAGCTAGAGGAAATAATAGAAATCATATAATGCATGTTCTTATTCATGTATCACAAAGAGAGGAAAAAACAATCTTTCTCCTGACACTGGGCAATTTTTGGCTGGTTACCCAGTCCCTGCCAAGCAACTTATGACTCTCTATTCCACCCTCTGACAAAGTAGCAGGTGAAGAAGGAGAAAGGAGAATGGTTAAGACCAGGAGTGTAAGACCCTGACCGGTCCAAGTAGATTTTATATATACACCATCTAAAAAGGAAGAGTGTCCTTTTGTTTTTTTTTTATTCTAAGTCGCTGTATAAACTTCATGACTTCATGTGAATGTGTGCACGTACATGCTATCACACTCATGCATGTCTATGTACATATATCTGTATGTATCTAAAAAATTGCATGCTCAGACTTACATAGTGGGAAGTATCTTCTGTGGGAATTCAGTAGCACTAAAATGCACCCATATATAGTAGCTCTACTTAAGAGCACAATAAATTTCAAGGCCTCTTCTACTATTTTTGATGTTGTGGTGTTCACTGGTCACTCTTTGTAATGAAAAGAGTTACCCTGAGAAGAACAAAAAACTCTTTAACTTAGGGACTGCTCAGATCTGCAGCTTCTCACTTGCTTGAGCAGACATTCTTCAATGGACAGTAATAAAGAAATAAAATGTTCTCAAAAGAAGTAGAAATGACTATCTTTTTTTTTTTTCATGTAGCTTGTTTTTAAAATTGAAATGAGTTGATGCCATTTTAATACTATGCCCTTAATAAAGTTGAGATATTCTAAACTGAAGCTAATTCCAAATAAAAGCGAGATTTAACTATTCTTTTTAAATAAACTTCCTCTAATGGGTGCAGAATTAACTTTTCCAGTAGTAAGAACTATTTAAAACATTCTGCTTGTAGTAAAAACTGTGTTAAGGCTCAGCAGATTTTGTGACTTCAACTTGAGGCTTGAATGTAAAAGTCTCTGTTGTCTTCCATTATAGCACAAACCAAATTCTATAACCAGTGCAGACTTTTCATCTAGTTTAAGTTTCTACAAGTCATGAGACCATGCGAAGATTCTCTATGGAGTCTTTGAATTTCCATCGTCCTTGCACATCCACAAATGACCTTGCCCGCTGCAGCCACCTGTTTGTCTAGCTCCATGGACATCCGTGGAGCTTTGTGTTTGGAGCAAATCTTCACCAATACATTCTGGTTTTCCCAAGCTATTTTCCTCCAGATATATATTCTAAATTGTTCTGTCATAGAATAAATAATAATGAATCAACTTACATTGTCATTATCCAGATCTGTTCTTATGCCGTATAATGCTTAGTTATGCTGAAAAATCTTAGTGCATTTGAAGGCAAGGTATTAAAATTGTTTGTTTGACACAATTGTAAACAAGATTTGTTTATGTTTTAGAAATCTGCATGCAGAGTACCATTATATATTTTCCAGATTTTTTCTCTCATTTACATGACCTGATAATAAATTTTCTTATTAAAAGTGCAGTAATATATATTTTCTACTTTTTAACTTTTATAACAGCTGTAAGAGACTAAGCTACACAGAATCTACACATACATTGGAGAGTTGTGTATGTGTAAACTTGCTGAGGCTTCTGAGTGAATATTTTAGGAAATTACATAGTCTGTACATTACAGTCTGTAAGCATACAGACTGACAGCAGTAGATCTCTTATTATTTTTTTTTTTTAGCATTCTAGAATAGGATGTCCAAAAAGGAAGGGCTTAAATTGACCTTTGTAAACATAAGTAGGTATAACATGCAAGCTGCTGTGCTGAGGCTCTGCATATACCAGTGCCCTCTCTTCAAGGCAGGAAGCATCCACAGTAGATGCCTAGAGAAGAAAAAGCAAGAGGGCTGTAATTTATCTGTAGTGTACCCTCCCAGCCTCTGGCTGTCTTCTGTGCGTTTAATAATCCTTGAATGATTTTGCCTTGAGTGATTTATCTGAACTTTAACAATACTTAAGTATTGTGGGAAAGAATGCCTTAGTTTAAATTTGTGTTGTATGGAGAACAATGACTTTTAAGGGGACTAAACCACAAACTTACTCTCATTCTTCGTTCCTTGCCTGTTTTCATAGGGGAACAGTGTAATATTTTCTACTTTTTTCTCATGCTATTAATGATTTTATAGGCATCTATTATGTCTTGTTTCAGCAGCCTAAGTCTATTCAGTCATCTTCTAATGGACCTTTTTTCATGTTTTTGGCCATTTCACTCTGTATTTCCTGTCCAATTAGAGGTAGGGGAAGACCATAGCTGCACCCACCCTGAAATATGTAGATGTTCTCTGGATTTATGCACTGAGATATTAATATTTTATTCTTGTTTGTACTTAGCACTGTATTCTCCATTTCTTGATTTTTTTTTTCATATTGCTTTTATTGTCATTGGGCATTTATCTGACAAATTTCTCATACTTTACATTATTATTGCAAGATCTGTTTATTGAATGCTAGTAAATAATCGCTAAAATTTGCAGAAATGTTTTACACTCAAAAATGCTACACAGAAACCAATGTGAGTGGTGATTATTTATCAAAATAGCCTATCAGGTCTTCAGGAGCTTTTAATTGCTTAGTTGGTTCATCTAATTGATTATTTGGCCACAAAGCAAAAGGTAATTAAGGCAAACCTTACTTTTGGCTACTAAAACAATGTTTTTCTTTTCCTATTTTCTTGTTGCCATTAGAGAAGCTAGGCTGAGGTAAAAATGAAGATGACAGAGCATATTTTTCCTGTAATAAATTTGCTGTGGGTCCACAGGAAAGATAGCAGAATCAAACAATAGATTTGCTCTAGAAACATTATATTTCATGCTAGTCTTATTTGTGGATACTGGGAAAGCTTCTTCCACGTTCTTGTAAATTTTTTTTCCCTCAAAATCCACCTTCTCTTCTTGAACATTGACTTAATTCTTTGAGACTTTATCTTGAATTTTGGAGGGAGGTTCCAAAATGAATTTCAGGTTTATGTAGGTTAACTTGCCCTCTCTAAAACAGGCGAGTATGATTTCAAGTACTAAGGAAATCACGTGTGAGTTAGTTAGAAATAAAATTTACCTCCTTTTTTTCTGTTCTAAGTAAATGACATAAATTCCTGCCTTGTTTAACTGTATTTCTTGCTTGGTTTGCATTACCTACTTTTATTTATTTTGCATAGTTATATGTGAAGATGAATGCTGGAGCTCTAGGTTCCTGTGGTAAACAAATACATTTTTTACTCAAAGCTTTAGTTTAAATGTTGTCTGTGAATTACATCTTCCAAAGGGAAAATAAAATAGAGATTAAAAGGATTTTCCGTTAGCTCTGCAGCAAGAATTGTAGTTCTGCAGTGCTTATTATCTATCTTGGTAAAATATTTTGAAATATCAGTGGATATTTTGCATGCATGGGTGAGAAATCAAATAGGAAAAGCTTTCGTTTTTAGTCTTTCTGAGCTCTCTATTATATATGTTGAGGGAATGCCACCCTACAATTTTAAAATAATGAACTTGCTACCTTTTATTCTATGTCATATTGCCACAAATGAAACTCAAATTCAGAAGCAATTTTGTTAGGCCAAGCTCCAGCTGACTAATGTAATCAATACTGTATACAAACAGCAAACAGTTTTTCTAAGGTAATATTTTTTTTTCCTCTTCAGACTCATAGCACGATTCTTTCTATGGTCAGTCTTCTATAATTTTATCTATTTATCTTAACTGCTAGATGCTTTAATTTTCCAGTCTCTGCATTATTGAGGTGCCAAACTAGAAGGGAAATTTATCACTTGTGAAAGAACGTCACTTATAGAGAATACACGTATTTTGACTAAAATGCCAACTCTCCCACCTTGGAGAAGCTTTCAAAATTCAAGGAAAATATACAACATGGAGACCAAAAAGTGAAGATTTTCATACAGTATTTTATAAACAGGTCAAGAAAGAGCAATCTTAAGGGCTAAAATAGTAGTTAAGTCTCTTTTGAATTCAACCTCTGATGTTTTTCCTCAGAACTTCCAACAAACTTGTCATTCTGCACCAATTCAGTCACAAAAGCACTTGTTCCAGGGAGGTTCATATTTTTTCCTTGTTAATAAAAACTTAACCCATCCTTTCATTTCAAATAGACCACTGAAAAGTCAGCAAATACAGATCATATAAATGAAATGCATGTGGCTGATATAGGAAGGGAATGAACGTTTCCCATCATATAAACTAAAAATATCCTGAGAGGATACTCTGCTTGTTTTGCCAAAAAGGAGTATTGTGATCTTTGAATTTCAGTAGTGGCAACTAGGGGAAAAATCTGGCTATGTCTTAACACAAGCTGAAGTCAGAGAACTTATATATTGGTCTATTCCTGCAAATGGAAATAAATCTTAGCATGCACTACACCATACTCTGTTTGTTATTGTTATTGTTGTTTTAACACAGTCACAGATGTCCCCGCTAACTGATACTGTTATATCATACACTGACTTTTTGTTTGACAAAAAATAGTATCTTTGATAATCTCTAACTCTACAATAAGATACACTGTTGTTTACAAACTGTGTTCATAAGTAATAAAATTTCTTCTGTACTTTATTAGTGTTCTTCTGTGTGAAAAAAAATAGCTGCATCTCCCTGGATTAATTTGAGATGATATAAATGTCAAGTAAAAAGACATTTAATTTTTTAAATGTTAATGGTTTTGATATAACTTTTGCAATGAGGCTGTGGATGCTCACAGAACTGCTGATCAATCTCAGCCCTTTGAATCAAAGGCTACATCTGCACTGGGGCTGAGCACATTTGGCTAATCACCACCTCTGAGATCCCTAGTCCATGAAATGCATGGGCCGTAATTAAGCTTTCATGTGCCCTTTGCAGCATCAGTGTCGAGCAAAAGTGCGCAAGGGTGATCAGGGAACTGTCCAGAGACTCCAAAACTGTGTCATAACCACATAAGCTGGGATCTGGCTTAGGGTGGGTAATTATGCTGCTAATTCAGTACTGCAAATAACACTTCCATAGTCAAGTGTAATTTTTCGGCACTGCAGAACTGGGCATCACAGCCATAACTCATGCTTTGAAAATGTTTCAATATCTAGCTTGTAGCAAAGATCACAGTCACAGAGTAGTTCTTGCTTAGCAAAGTGACATTATTTCACTAGGGCATTTTTCTGTTTTAGGTATCCAGTCTTACAATAGAATATATTCCCCTATATCTTTGAAAAATACTGTATTTACAGTTTCATGAAAGAAGAATGTAGTTCTACTTCTGGGCTATGCTTGATCCAGTACTCATTAGACGTGATTTGAAATGCCAACCAGGAGGAGTTGTTTGCTGTGAAAACTATCTACAGAGGAAGAGTCTTTGCTGAATCTGGCAGGGGTCTGGTTTTATATGGGGAGCAGAGGGAAGGGGAGTGGGGTGAGAAGAAATACTTCTTTGCATTTCCTTCACTCCTTCCGTCATTGCTCAGCATTCACAAAGGGCAATATAGATATTAATCTTTGTCTTCCCTACCTTTCAGGTCTTCCAGGGAAATTTTGACAATGAAACACACCGAAAGAATGTCATTGATCCTCCAATCTATGCTCGGCACATCAGGATCCTCCCATGGTCATGGTATGGCAGGATCACCTTACGGTCAGAGCTGTTGGGCTGCACAGAGGAGGACTGACATGGATTTTCGTTAGGCATCGCAACTTTCTCCCCAAAAGTCTCTCAATAGAAGAAACTGTGCAAAACCTATAGGAAGCTGAATGGGTTTTTCATGAACAAGTGCTAACTTTATGGTAGGCCGCTAACTGTCTTTCACAAAGAGGTCTAAGCCTGCCCTTTAAATGATCCAATCCAATTTTGTCCTTTAAATCTGTTACGGTGTTGTCCCTTTTGCTGTGGAATTATATTTCTAGTTTCTTTTTAAGTTGTTCACACTGGTTGAAATGTGTTAGGGAAAAACAGCAGCATCCTTTTTACAAGAAAAGAGAAATAGCATGACAAAGCTCATTTACAGCTTTAGAAACACTGGGCTCACAAATTCTCCATAAATCATACTGTCATCTTACTTGCAAAAAGTGATACTGCAGCTTTTAGCAATAAGTTTTCTCTGGGATGACTGCGTTATAGTAATTGTTTCCCTTGTGCCTATCAGACACTGTCAGAATGACATATATTTAGGAAAATATTCTGTGGTACTATAAAAATACCATACCTGTGATATTGCAAGCTACCTTTCAATACATATGTCTAAACTGCAGAGTCCATGCGACTGGGGATTTTTCTGGATAACCTCATTTTTATCCCTTATTTTGCATGCTAGGGACATAATCTCCATCTTCTCTGTTTAACTCACTGTTATTTTCTTTTAAAGAGGTAGCCTGTCTGCATATGGAACAAAATCTGCCATCAGTGTATTTTGAAGTTAATGAATTTGTCAAAGTTTATTAATGCTGCTTGAGATGACTTTTTTTTTTTTTTTTTTCCCAGGGAGGCTGAGATTAGACTCCAGGGTACTTGCGGTATCTCATCTTAAGTACTCACATGGATACAGGCACACGATGTAGCATGAATCTTGAGCCCATTTTGTGCATTGCCCAGGAGTGAGCACACAACCCTAGATGGAGTTGCCTGCCTGGTTACTTCGATCAGAAGCCTCCTTCATTCCTGTGAGGAGGAAACTGTGGGATGAAGCACTTAGGTGCTAAAAGATACCCATAAGGAGCATTTCCCTTACTCCCACGAGGCACCCTGCTAGGCTCTTTTTGTGACGCCTGTCACACAGATCCTCCCAAACAGGAGTGCAACAGGGGCTGTAGGCACTGATAAAAGCTGGGCTCTTGGAATGCGCTCCTGACCATGTCTTTTTGGAGCCACATGGAAGCTGGTTTTTGTCATGTTTTAGCTACAGGAATGTTTCATGTGTACTACAGTGTTTTAACAACATGATAGTGAGCTGTGAGCTGGTTTTAAGGTATCAAAAGTAGATTTAAGAGAAAAAAATGCAGACTAGTTGGAAGGGCATGAATATGCCAGGGCTATAGTAGTAGAAAGCAATCGATGCGCAGCCCAGGCCTCATGCCACACCAAGCAGGAGCAAGAGGCAGTGGATGTGTCACTGCAGCAGCCGCCAGGCTCCCTGGCAGCGAGGCAGGTAACTCACTCCCAAGCTCACTCCTCGAGGCAGTCCCTGGGACAGTGCGGGTTCGCAGATCTCGGGTGTTGTACAGGAGTCAGGAGAGTGCGTTGCAGGCCCAGGTCTGGGGTTTATTTGTCATGGAGTCTTGGGCGAGTCACTTCCCTATGTCATGGTGTCGCTGTGGCAGGGAGATGGTGATACCTGATTCTGTAAAGCACCTGGAGTTCCTGGGACTAAGTGTTGTGTGAAGGCCAGTTTTTGCTATCGTAGCACCGGAATCTTAAAAACTACTGGAGCCAAAGGGTTAGGGTCTGATTTATCTGAGTAAATGGCATGAAAGATTCTTATTGTCATTATTTTAATTTCATAACATGCTGATTTAGATATAGAGGACTGCATGTTTTAGCGAATGTGGCTGAATTTCTTTGTTGTCACTAATATGTTCTCACTGAAACCAAAATTCTGAAATATGAACCTGGGCCCTGCTTCCCAGATAAACAACTAGCTGGCCCACAGTGTGCAAAGGGCAAAGTTTACTTTGGAAACAACATAGTTTGGATTTCAAAACTTGCGTTTAATTTCACATTCTCCACCACAGACAAAATATAGTCCATGTTACTGTGAAAGACTCCAGAATAACAGCCAGGAATTTTCCAAACAAGAATTTGAGATTGATTTGCAGACATTTTCTGATAGTGTCACTTAAATTGCTGTATTTTAAAACACAAAACATTCTGATTCTATAAAATGACTTAATCCTTAAACTCTGTTTATACAAGTACTTGTTTTATAAGGCTTAGACATTTAAAGGCATAAGACTTTTACGGAAGAGTCTCATGAAGGTAAAAGGTAAAAAGTATGTGTGAGAAATGTTGAGGTCCTGTGCAACACTGCTAAGTTTGTTTTTCTTTATTTTTTACTTTGTGATGCATAACAAAAGCCACTAGACTGTTACTGTCTTGTCTGTAAACTGTGTTAACAGCATTCCTTAATGATGTGTATATGAAGTGGTCTTCAAGCATAGTGAGCAATTTTAAAGAGAAAGTCAATCATGATGGTATTTTTGAAGAGCAAAAAATTCTGAATAACGGAGGACAGATGTATTCTTAAATTACTTTCTGCTCATATGTCACACTTTAGGCTCTTCCAAAAAAAAAAAGTCTGAAATATTAACCTTTTTAGGAGGGTACATAATATTTAAAGGGGTCCAAAACCATTTACCTGCTTTAAAATTGCAACTGGCCATGCATTTAATTAAAGATATGAATAAACACACATAAACAATCTACTTGACTGTCTATGCCAAAAATGGAAGGCCAGCAATAGAAGGCCAAAGTTCATCAGTTTGTTTTAAAGGTGTTTTCTAATATTTGCTGTGTATTCCTGAGTGTATTCTTAAGATTAATGCTTTGGTTTAATAAGGTAGTTGTTACTTGTTCATCTGCATATTAACTAGTGTTGTCCTGCTACCTAATGCGGTCATTCTGTTTTGTAATACAATTTATAGTTGAATATTTTCATCTTTTTATTCTTAGTTGGATTTCATTTGTTGGCATTCTTCAGAATCTGAAAACAAGGTTCTGGACATTGTGATAATACTGTAATGATTTCTAAAAGAACCATATATATATTACTCTTACATTTTCAACTGATGTACTGGGGATATTTCTCATTATACAATATATTCCTTAGTTAACAAAAAGCTTTCTTTAGACGGCACTGTGCAGCTGTGGAGTAATTTCTGCTCCTAGTATCTGAAATAACTCTTGATTTCTATGGAATTATTTCAGATTTAATAAAACAGATGAGATTCAGATGTTGCCTATGGTTAAGATTATTTCCTTTAATTTTATTTTTCTCATTGCCTGAAAAACATGGGGATTAAGGAACAAATTCTAAGCTAACACTACTGTATTTGCCTGATGAATGCAACTGGCATTCCAAATATAGAAAGAGCATTGGAGTTCTCCTTTTAAGAGCAGATGGAAAAAACATTTTGAAATAATCCTCAAATTTTGTGTTAATTGTTGCAGTGACATTGAACAAGAGTGAAGATGTTCTCCTAATTAAAGTCCACCCTGAGCCAGTTAGGTATTTGTAGGTAGACTTCACCTTTCTCAAGCTCTATAATGTACTACTACTGTAACATGAGAAATAAAACAAAGGCACAAGACTTAGTTTTATCTGCCTTCCACTAAGGGCTTACCCCATTAACTGATTCTGATTTTGAGGTTGACTTTCTCTTTTGGAATGACGGCATACAAATTAGTGTTAGTTTTGAAGACTAAGGATACTAAATGAGTGTATCTTTGCTATAAAACAAATATGAACTATAATATTCAGTGCTGGCTTCTGATGTGTCAGTAAGTACAGAAGTATCTCAGACACAATGACCTTTGCAACCTTTCGAGCTGTGTAATATTCAAATGGTTTTGTATATACTTATATCATGTAGAATGATGTAAAACCAGTATGACCTTGTCTAGTCTTCAAACTTAACAATAAAACTTTTGAAAAATGAGGTTGTTTTTGAAGAATTTATAATGCAGTACCTTTAAGAAGATAGACCTTATCTCAGCCTGACTAGAGATGTGATGTGGCATTTTCTTGGATTCACTCACCGGGTTTTTGTGGTAGGTGAGTTTGTTTCTGGCAAAATCAACTGTAGTGTTATGCTCCCTTCAAAGTGTTCCTTTTATTGTTTCAGATTTTAAAAAAAAATGGTTTGAATAAGCCTAAAATATTTTTGCATCTTACTGCTGTTTGAATGAGCACCAGAAATATAAACTGACGATTTAATTTCTTTTAAATAAAGTTTTTAGGGCTATGTATCAACCCCTATCCTCTGTTCTTTCCTCCTGCATAGGGAAAATAATTTCAGGAAAGATAAATACTGTTTGTATTTCAGACCCACTGGGAGACTTGAAGCAAAGATGCCAAGCAGGGCCTGTGCTTTCTCACAGTCCCACAGCAGGTCGTTGGCATTGAACTTAAAGCTGAAACTAGTGCTTCTTACACATTTCTGTAGCCTCGATACAATCTAGTTTCCTGAGGTTCTTGCAAAACTGCCCTTATTACTTGCCTCTAAAACCATTTCTGCTATAGCCCTCAGGAAGGGATCAAGAAATGTTTGAATGGAGATGCTATTGAAACATAGGAAATTTAGTTCAGTGATTTTAATTTCAGAAGAAGACAAGGTAAAATTAGGGAAAAGCTATTCACTCTAAATTCAGAATACTATGATTTTTTGTTTTGATGCTGATGTTTTGTGTGTTTATTTGAGATGATAATGAGTAAATCACTAGAGCTTTAGTAATTTACCCCTCACTGTTCCAGCATAACTTGATAGATATGGATGACTGTTTCTACCGCATTTCAAAATGGGAGCTTTCACCAAAAAAATAATCTTTTAGAGATAAACATTCAGGAGGATGCACTGCTGACATTCACCTTGTCTGCCAAGTGCACAGTCTGAACACTAACAGCATATTATCTTTTAACAGAAAAGTAACAGTATTTACTTTGTGATCATTTCGGATTACATATTATTATGAGCCTTAAAATAAGAGGAATATAATGGTGCATGTAAAAAGAGACTCTTTTGGTGAATGATGGCTGATTATTAGCATTTCAATCATATATTCATGATAATATATACTATCTTGACTCTTTCTGGCTTTTAATTATAAATTGCAACTGTTTTTTGAAACATGGGGACTGTTCCTGAAAAATCAGATGTGATTTTCCTCTCATTCTTCCTTGTGTAGTTCCCCAGGAACTTAAGTGAAGCTAGTGATAGAAAATAAATAATGATCTTCAGAATAGCAACAATTTATTAACATCCATCCTCTCGTACTTCTCATGTTGCTAATTAGCTTGAGATTAACATGCACTCTAAATTATTACGAAATAGTCTCTGATCTTTGTGTTAAATGCGAAAGGATATTTATTTTGTACTTTAGATCCAACTAACAGGTTCTGGTCAGTCTTATAAATCATGACAAAATTGAAGATAATTGTACAGTTGCAATATTTTTATTTTTTAGATTTTCTGTATTGGGAATATACAGTAGGATTCATAAAATTGTGGTAAAGATAACAGACCTATTTTTTGTATCTTTTTTGTTGTATGGTTTTA